GGTTCAGCTCTGTGTGAAATCAAGATATCTGAGCTTTCTTAAACTTGACACCAGAAATGAATTATTTGCAACAGCCGAAACATTCGTAGTAGATGGCAGTTTCACTCAATCCACGTCACTCGCGCCTGGCGGTCACCGGCAGCTGGCGGGATTTACAGTCAGCGACTTGTATAGGACTGTATTGCTCTTAAATATTCTTCTACGCCGCCCTTTTCATACATTTATTAGCATAAAAACTGTATTTCTCTCTTTTGCTGAAAAGCACAAACCGTTGAAGGACCATACCGTTGTCCCTTAATACAAGAGCACCTTTTAGCAGTAACATATTTTTAGCATTTCTTAATATCTTTATATTTTTAGCACGCGAGAAGGTCATAGAATTCCGACTCGTGGAATTCCTTTCTACTCTGTATGTAGCGATGGCCATTTTAAGTTATTCTGTCGTGCTCACAAACCTGCATGAACATAGCGTATGAGCGTGTTTGTTCTTGTATGTTGTTGCTCTGCAGCGCCGTTTAGAAAAATCCTGGGCCATTTGTTGGGGTTATGTTTCAAAAGCTTATTTATGTTGCTATAAGCGCTAAAATTGCAGACTTGACGAGCCATCTTGAGAAAACAGAAAATAGAATATCAAATTCCGAAGCTCACCTGGCCAAAGTAGAAGAGAAGGTGGAGCCATCATACCACGCATCTAAGGCAGCTGGCCATTTATGGTCGGCTATGTCCAAAAGTCAGTAGACTAAAGAGTCAGCATAAGTTAAGATAGTTGACTTAGAAAATTGTATCAGGAGGTATAAATTGATAGTTTTCTGGCGACCAAGCGTTCCAAGTGAGTCTGAAGCAATGTTGTGTGAAAAAGCTAACAACGAAATTTTTGCACAAAAGCTTGGCGTGAACTGCACTTCTGTTGGTGGCATTCATAGGCTTGGTAAATTTCGGGCGAACTGACCAATCGTTTTGTTCTTTCAAGACTACAGAAAAAAAGAAGCAGTGCAGCGTGGCACATCAAAGCTGGGAGGTACAAAGATATATTTACAAAATGATTACTGCGCAGACACGCTCTGTAAACGTAAGCTTCTCTGGACTAGTGCTAAAGATGACAAAGACGAAGGCAAAATAATAGGTTTGGTGCATGATAAGCTGCGCATCCAAGACCATTTGTACGCATGGGACGATGCTAATATCATACGCACGTCAATATAAAACAAAACAAAAAGACCCTACTGTCCCCGAGCTTGCAATAGAAGATGCAACAGCAACGCCTCATCTCGCGCAATGCTAGAAGCGTGGTAAATGAAACGGATGCACTTGAATCTTTATCACTCTTATACGACCCACATTTCGGTGCTGTCCGTGAAACTTGGCTTCATGCTAACATTCGCGATGATGAAATTACACCACCAGGGTACTGCTTGTATCAGCGCGAGAGAGGTTCTCGAAGAGGAGGCACGGCTGTTATTGCAAAACATTCTGAGCACAAAACCATCGGAGATCAAAATTTTGACCATGAAAGTTTGTTGCTAAGCGTGTGTTTTTGTGGAATTCAATTTTTTCTTTGTGCAGTATACCACCCGTCTGACTCAAATGATGTTTACTTGCAGAAACTGCATGAACATACCTAGCCTATGTGATAAAAATATAATCTTGAAAGGTTATTTTAACCTTCCTGAATATATTGAGAACAATTAAACAATAGATATTCCGAAAGTATTGATGTTCCAGTGAATAGGATCTGTCGTTTAAATTCAGAGCAGATGGTGCGTCAGTGCAAACGTGGTAAATCCATCTTAGATCGACTATTTAAAACAGAATTATATAACGTCGCTACGGTATCAGTGGAGCCAGGAATTCAGGCCACGATGTTGTATTTTTTGTTAGCAGCTAACAAGAAACAGGCTGAAGCCAGCAAAAAAAATTTTAGTGTTTTATAATTTTCAAAACGCTGATGACGTTTCAGTAATAGATTACCTAGATGTATATTTTGACTTTCCAATTGACAATATTGAGATTTCATGAATAAGGTTTTGAGATGCAAAAAAACGCTTCCTATACAAAATTTACGCCTACCGAAATTACTAAATACAACTTATAAATCCTTAGATAACTAGAGATATAATTCACACAAATTGTAAAAATAAACGGCTCTGCAAGCCGAGAAAAATTGGCAGATTCCACGTACTGTGGGAATCGGTGATATGCGGAACCCGAAATGAAAGAGGTTGAACTGTCACATTCAAATCAGCACAACGCTACTGGGCGGACGTAAATTTTGCCATCCATGACTTCTATGTCATGATTATTATGTTGGCGCCTGGCGCTTGTGCTCAGTCGTCAATTCAGATCAAGTAATACAAAATTTTGTACATAAGAAGCAAGCAAAGCGGCCTCGAGCACACTGTTAGCGTAGCGTGTAGTCATACTTTACGTGATACGCATGCCATGGCTATCATGTTTAAACGTGTAATTTATATTCCTCATCAATTCGCGTCATGTAATACAAAATTTGGTGTATGTGAAGCCAGCAAAACAACCGCGAGCGCATCAAGAGCATGGCATGTACTCACGTTCTTACATGACACGCATTTTATTATTTACTTGTCTGGACGTGTCATTTACTTTTGTTGTCTGTACGCGTCACGTAATACCAAATTCGGTGATATGTGAAGTTAGCGAAACGACAGCAAGCGCATCGTGAGCGTGGAATGTAGTCATGTTCTTATATGACACGCATGTCATGATTATCACGTTAGCACCAGTCATATATTTTCGTCATAAATTCTTGTCACGTAATCCCAAATTCGGTGTATGTGACTAGCGAAACGACCATGAGCTCATCATGAGCGTGGAAGGTAGTCATGTGCTTACGTGATATGCAGTTCATGATTTCCACGTGAGGGCCTGTCACTTAGGTTCGCCATGCAGTCATGTCATACCATACCACTTTTGCGATTTATTATGTGAACTAAACCAACGCAAGAGAAGCAAGACCATAACATGTAATTGATGCCATTCATAACATACATATCATAATTTTCTTGTTAGGAATCGTCATTTGTGCTCATCTTTCAGTCATTTTATGCCATACTAATTTTGGTATAGTTTCCATTATCCAAATGGCAGGATAGCTAAAAGTCGTAGGGAGCTATTAGATAGATAGATAGATAGATAGATAAATAGATAGATAGATAGATAGATAGATAGATAGATAGATAGATAGATAGATAGATAGATAGATAGATAGATAGATAGATAGATAGATAGATAGATAGAGAGATAGATATGCTCAAAGTTGCCGCAGTTCGCTAAGAAGTGCTTCACATTTAAAAGTGTCATGCTGTCTTTATTTTGAACTGAGACACAGTCAATTATTAATCTGAGAGTCCCGAAATGCTTCCTTCAACATTTAGCTTTCCTAGTTCATTAGGTGCGACAACCAAAAGTTGTGGTGGTTCCAAAAGAAAGTAGACAGGATGTTTCTAAAATAAAACAAATGGTGATGAGATACCAACTGATGCCTGGCAGATCTCAGGGCGTTTGAATCATTGCTTCAAAAATGTTTTTTATAAGCGATAAATATGTACTCAGGTAGCTCTGAATAAGAGTGTCGCATGGAGGCTTGGTGTAGATGTGCTTAATGTTAGTCCAAAAAAAAAAAAACGTTAGGACCGGATGGTATCACTAATGCTTTGATATATCTCTACACAGAGCAGGCATCTCATTTTCTGACATATATTTTAATTCTGACAATTGCTAAAGGCAAAACTACTTGCGACTGCCGTTTATCACGCACCACTCCCATTCACAACAAGGGTGATCGTTTCTCTGTGAATAAATATCATCCCATATTTCTTACAAGCACATGTAAGTTTTTGGAGCATGTCTTTTCAAAGTACTTTATCGAATTTCTTGAAAAGCGCAATGTATTATCGCCATTCAGGCATGGTTTTATAAAGAACCTGTCTACAGTTACACAGCTTGTGACAAAAGTACATAGTTTTTCACATATCCTTGATATAAATCAAGGCATCAACCTGGGAGCTGGTCAGGTTGATGCCTTGTTTCTGGACTTATTGAAGGCATTTGATAAAGTGCCTCATAGGAAGCCATTACGGAAGCTAGAATATTTTGGTGTCCCTTCAAACGTTAATAAATATTCCGAAAAGTTAATTCGAGCGCGAAAACTTGACACGATCACTCACACATGCACACACCCATGCATCAAACACACAGCGCTCACTTCCAACTGATTTATTCATAGCTCAAGTTTTCGCGCTCGAATTAACTTTTCGGAATGCTCTACCAACTAGCCCAACAACAAGTTCTCTTAGTTAATAAATATATTGGAGCCTTTCGAGACAGGCAGAAGTCTCGAAAGATTTCCCCTAGAACTGTGTCCGATTGGAATGCTCTGCCCTCCACTGTTGTTCATGCCAATTATTTTGTATGCGAACTGGCAAATCCGCATTATGTATCATGATTGTACTTGACATTTTTCTTGTGTTCCTATTTTTATTGTTTTTATTTTTTTTTGCTGTGATTGCGAAGTTTTGTTCTTTCTTTATTGTGATTCTGCGATTGATGTACAACCCCTCCTGCATCAACCACGCGGTGGTCTGCAGTATTGATAGCTAAATAAATAAATAAGTTACATGGCGATGACAAGATAATTGCGCAATAAACTCCTAAATAATTATGTTGGATCACTTGAGCAGTCTGTATGCATTACAGTATGCAAATCATGGCGGCTCTTTTTCTAGCAGTATAATGTGTGTTTTTGAAAATATATCTTTTTTGTTAGACTTTGCATTAATGCAATGAAGCACTCATATCACTTTTAACTACATGTGCATAAGCTGTATGTTATCTTATCATGTGAGGTAAAAAGATAGACGAAAAGAGGATATAATAGCATTGGAGAGTGGTAAAACATTGGTATATATCTTTACGGCTGTTTACTGCACGATGTTAAGACGATTGTCTTATGCATCCTTTTCGTGCAGTGCTTGGCGATGTGGCTCCAGTAAGTGTGAAGTACTGCATGACGGGTGTGCCACAGGAGCTCACTGCGTCCAACATCGCTGTCATGTGAGTTTTCTCTTTGTAATTTTCACAAAACGAACTGTATCGACCAGGACCCAGCTGAAGCCGACTTAATTGAATTGCTCAAGGACAAAGATGTTTATTACGATCGCGATAAGGTAGTAGAATGCATTGCATTAGAATAATTCTACCGGTGCATCGAGAAAAACTTCAAGCTTTGACTGCAGGAGAAGCTTGGTGAAGTACAAAGAAACAAGGCAGCAGAGTTACCCGGCTGGTATTATACTCGCGGAAGGTTGCATTGCAGAGCAGTTCACGTTAAAAAGAATGAAAAAAGAGAGCTTTTTAAAGAAACTTGAAGAACAGAAAGCCACTTCGCACCACAATTTCAGAAAGGACCCGCCTCTTACGAAAGACAGTGCAGAGGAAGGGCAAACGGAAGCGCAGAAATCGAGTGAGGTTTCCAAACAGCGCACTGATACCACGCGGACATTTTAGTCACGGAAGGCGCTAATCTTCTATAACTGCAAAAAGGAAGGGCACCTCGCGGTAAACTGTAAACAAAAGTTTTCATTCGCAACAATTCGAGAATCGGAAAAGAAAATGCGGCTGCTAGAGCAGTATCTGCAGAAAATTAGTCTGAATGGGAAAGCGTGTCAAGCACTTCGAGACTCAGTGGCAACCATGGACGTTGTTCATCCTTCGTTAGTGTCTGCGGACGATTTTACAGGAAAATGCTCGTGGATATGTCAAGTCGCTGAGGAGCAGAGTGATTGCTTACCAGTCGCTACGGTTGTCATTGAAGGCGCGTTCGGTAAGCTTCACACCAAAGCGGCTTTGTCTGCCACGCTTACCGATCGTTTTCATTACCTTTTTTTTAACAACTCTGAGCAGTTTCTCAAAGAGCAGGCTGAATCGTTCTTTGCAAACTTGGGGTACATGGTCTCAAAGAGCAGGCTCAATCGTTCTTCGCAAACTTAGGGTACATGGCTCTCACGCTATTGCAAGCGCGAAAGTTTTCGCAGGAACTTGATCTTGTTCAATGTAGTGAAAAACCGCCTGCAAAAGCGGCCGAGATGCGTGACCCTGCGGCAAGGCGATGGTGCCTCGGACAGGAAATAATCTAGATGAGTCACTGGAGCAGTCACTCGAGCGGCCCGTCGCAGAATCCGTCTCTGTCGGTGAAGGAGACGACATGGCGCCATTGACTGAGAGTGAGAAGGATGCAGTACTCTCGCCTGTATCGGAAAGATGGAGAGAGCTGTTTGAGGTTGATCGGAAAACGCTCATCCGAGAGCTACGTGAGGACCTGTCAATTAAAGCGCTAATATAAAACGTAAAGTTGGGAACAAAGAAAACGAATGTTTCAATTTTTGAGAAGGCATGGCTCCTGTATCTCCTGTATGACAAAGCAGGGCTCCTGTATTTGTGAAGCTACACAAATGTGCAAGGTCGCAAGTATGAACAGCTCTTGGTGCCACAAATGTTTTGTCGCCAACTACTGGAACTGGCGCATGAAAACACGTGGGCAGAACGTCTCGGCATAAAAAAGACCAAGAGTAGAATTTCCCTTGAGTTTTATTGGCCGAATGGGTGAAAGGATTCGAATACTTTGTACGCTCAAGCGGCACTTGTCAGAGAGTGAAAATCCATGACAAGTGGAAGGCACCCGTGAAGGTTCTGCCAATTGTCACAGAACCTTTTCGGCGCCTAGTAATTCACATCGTCGGGCCATTGCCAGACTCAAGGCAAAGTTGTCGGTACATCCTGACAGCGCTCTGTGTAGCCAGAAAATTTCCAGAAGCGATACCACTTAAGGAGCTCGATTTTCCTCATGCCGTGGATGCTCGGCTTTCTATATTCGCACGCGTCAGATTTCTTTCTGAAATTCATTGCGACAATAGGAATGTTTTCACCAACTGCTTTACCTCTACCTTTTTGGATAATTGCGCAACGAAAAAGGTGCAGAGCTCGATTCATCACGCTCAATCTAATCCGGTAGAGCGTATGCATTGCGTTCTGAAACGGTGCTGAGAGCTCTTTGCTACGAACACAAATGCGACTAGGAAGCGTGTAATCATCCCGCTACGTTCGCTTTGAGATCAGCTCCTCATGAGAGCACTGGCTTTAGCTGCAGAGCTTGTGTAAGACAGGAGTTTGAGAACACCAATGCGACTGCTACGCGAGTCCTGGGAGGTATTCGATGAAGACCCTAATGTAGTTGCATATGTTCTAGACCTCCTTCAGAGGTTTCAAAAAGTACAAGATCTTGTGGAAAGCTACATGAAGGCTACAGAAGAGTTGTCGAAGGAGTACCGCGACAAATTTGCGAAGAAACGCACCTTTGAAATGGGTAGTCAGGTAATGCTGCTGCGGCTGTCCAAAAAGAACAAGCTTGAGGTTTATTGGGAAGAACCCGCCAAACTAATATCGAAGGTTTCTGATACTAATTATAAATTGAATTTAGGAAGGCTGCCGAACAAAATTTACCACAGTAACTTGACGAAACTATAAGTTCAAGGTTAGGTGGACGTAAATCTGCTTTTGAATGATTCAGAAGAAGCAGGAGCACAAGTTTGATTTCTAGTGATGTAATAGAAACGAGATCAGATGAAATCTTGGAGCAGTTGAACCTGGAGCCTAGATTAAGTAAAGTCCAGTAGGAGAACTTGAGGAGGATCGTTTTTGAGTTTAAATACGTGTTTTTGGACCGTCCTGGAAACACGACGGTGATTGAACACTATGTCGATCTAACTTGTGAGGATCCAATTTGTAGCAAGCCATATCGATGTTCTCTTGTGAAAAAGCACATTATGAAAGAGGAGATCAATGAAATGCTGTAGTTGAGAGTCATGGTACACAGGGAGAGTGACTATATAGCTCCTTTAATATTGTTTCAAGTGCCGGGAAAAGATTCGAGGCCATGCATTGATTATCGGCGTCTTAACACCATTACTCAAGACCAAACTTGCCGACACCAAATTTAGAGGATATGATGCAAGCTGTATCACAGTGTACTTATATTTCCACGTTAGACCTTGTGCGAGGGTATTGACATGTCCCTCTTACGGAGTGCGCTAGCCGCTATGCCACATTAGTTTTTTCATTCGGAACGTATCGTCCACTTAAGCTGAGCTCTAGTTTGAAAAATGCGTCCTTTTGTTTTTCAGGCTTAATGAACCACGTTCTAATGACCTCTCCGAGTTCGTTCTGTCGTATCATGAAGATGTCGCCATCTTCTCGAATAGCTTAGAAGAACATGTAGAACATTTACGAGTCGTGCTCAACAGGTTGAAACAAGCTGGTCTTGCCGCGAAACCGACTAAACGTCACCTAGGCTGCGGCAAGGTGTCTTACCTGAGACACGTTGTGGGGCGTGAGCGGTGTTGACCTTAAAACATTGAGGCAGCCGCCGTCATGAACTATCCACGACCAACCACAAAATCTGATATGAAGGCTTTCTAAGGCCTAGATAGATACCATCAGCCTTCCCTTCAAAACTACTTTAACATTGCCAGCCCACTAACTGACGCACTTCGAAAGTCCGAGCCGGTTAAAGTGGTGTAGGACTCGGAAAAAGGGAATGCATTTTGCAAGCTGAAACAAACCCAAAACGAAAAACCCGTTCTCATGACACCCAACTTTTCTAAGGGTTTTGCCATTAGGTACAGTGCGAGTGATGGCAGCATAGGAGTCATAAAATGCCCGGAAGACAGCACTGGTAACGAAAGGCCAGTTTTGTATTTAGGTCGAAAACTTAGCTGCAGGGAACAGGCATACAGTACCTCTGAAAAGGAAGGCGTTTGCCTCGTTTGGGTCGTTCAAAAGCTAGCTTGTTAAGTCCCCGTTTCAAGGTTTGTGGTCGAAATGAACCACTGTCCTCTAAGCAGCCTAAATAACATGTCACCTAAATGTGGCCTTTTACTCCAATTATACTCCAACCGAATAGCTTAGATGTTCGCTACAAAAAAAGGAGAGCTAAACGCTAATGCAGACGAATTGAGCCATGCGTTTTAGTTAGTACCTTCTCCACCTTTCGGTATTTCGCTGGCGAGTCAGGGCAAAATTTTGTCCTCATCACAGCCTTTGCTGAGCACTCTCGTCCACAGTGATCTCAAAGGGCCAACTTGATGTTGTATTCTATTTCATTACGTTGTTGTACGTGTGAAAATTTGAGTTCTCATTTTAAGAGTCTTGTGTCCCACATGTACCTCTTTATGTAGAGGGAACGAAATCCTGATGGACACGCAGCTAGGTATATGTTGTACTAACATTTCTTTGGTGTTCTGTCGGGTAACCGAGGGCACTTGCTTGTGTCGTGCGTTGTCTGTAGTCGAACCGTGCTTGACAAGTTGCAGAACCATCGACAAGTGCTGAGACCGAAAATGGTGAGAAGAGATGAGTGAAGCTAGTCGACAGGTTTTGGCGACAAGCCAGAGGAGCTGGGATTCATCCTCAAAACTTGAATGTGTTCACGAAACTGTGCCTGGAGCTACATCTTCCCCATGGCCCTGAAGGCGAACCTGGAGGGACCTGGCGAATGAGCGTGCCCGACATTCGATCCACTTGGAAGCAGCTCGTCTTTCCGGCGCATTTCCTGATGGTGGTGGGGGAGCTGTTACGCCTGGGAGTCTAGACCGAACGTCATTGCCTCTTCTCTGCAAAAGCAATCTGTGTGAAGGCCAGCGATCGAGCTCACCTGATGCCATCACCTCAACGACGTCATCTAACCCAGCGGCGCCGGTGTGTTTTATGCAACGCACGGCTAGCTCCCTCAACCCACGGGTCCGATAGCAGCCCGACGATGCTATCGGCGCCATTCACTCTGGTGAGTCTTATGTAACGCGTGGCCACATCACTCGTCCATGGGTGCACCCAGTGGTGGTTCTTGACCGGAGGATTCTGATATCACGGCCAGTGGCGGTTCTGATTGGACGTTGCTGACGTGAGGGTGACCACAGGGCCTATAAAAAACCAAGCGGCGCGTCGCCAAGCAGCCGACCTTTGTGTCAAAAAGAAGAGGACAGAGTTAGAGCGTCCGAAGA